TTAAATAAGTCAATAACTAACAAATCATTTTACAAAAAAGATTCATAACTGTTTAAGAGGCAAGATCCTCTTACACACTTTAAAATATGATTCAATCCATTAAATAATCACAATTGATATACTCCCCTCCAGGGATACCAGTGCTTACAGAGAGGTATAGTTGTTCCCAGTGTGTAGTATTAACTACTCTGTGAAGTGAAAACATACAGTATTGGAGGTAGGGACCCCATGAAGATAAAAACTTCTATCACAAAAACCATAGGTAGTTCATTGCATCAAACTGAGGGGATGGGAGGGAGAAGTTCATCCCCTCAAGGGCACACTGAGGAGAAGAAAAACGAGCTGTACTTTTCCACTTGCTCCAACAAAAGGAACAGTTTTTAAGATGATATTTTGCTCTTTGAATGATTTTTCTGTGATTGTGTTCATTCTTGTATATGAATATTATCTATACACCTAGATAGGTCTATATACATACAGATGTTTATATTTACATAAAAGATTACTACCTCGTACTTCTATATCTACCTATAAATCATCTGTTTGTATATATAACTGTATTCAAAATAACTATTTTACACGAAATCTTTACATTTCTAATTCTAGCCCCCTCTGGAACCTAGTTCTAATGCACAAAAATCACTTCAGAAGTGAAAAATTATTATGGTTTATTTCTACTTTTTCTTATATCATATTCCAGGGTACTTCAGCAAAAGCAATGGCAGTACCATTGCTGTACTAGATACTGTGGGGATTACACACACACACACACACACACACACTCATACACAAATACATCTTCTTAAAGTTTATCATCTACCAAAGGGACAAAACCTCAAGATATGATCCAATCACTTAACATGGCTAGATGCAAATAAGTCAGTTTCTACTGGCAGGAAACAGAAGAGATGGGATGGGGCAGATGAGTGTGTACCTGGATGTCCTGGTATATCTTTTTATATGAAAACCGAGCAGCAACACCCGCAGACCAATTCAATTACTAATGTCAAGAAGGAGACACTCCCCTTTCTTTTTGAAGCAAAACTTGCTAGTCCCTTGGAAAGATATGTAGACAAGTCCAGGTGTCTGGAGAGCTAATGCCCCTTGGGTGTTTGCATCTTCAAATTCACTTGGCTCTGGGACTCTTGTGATCAACGTGGCTGATTGGCTCATGGTTGAAAGAATGTGCCCTTCCCCAGGGCCCTCCAACCCTACTGCTGGGAGGCTCCAGGCTGTGAAAAGCCACGAAATGCTCACACTGTCTACTTTTCACTTCCCAGTGGATGCTGTCCCTTACCTTTTAATTGAAGGAAGATGTGGGAGACAAACAGTAACAAGAAGTCAAACCAGGAGAGTGTGACTCATTTCCAAAGACAGCAGGTGTCAGTTTAGAGGATCTAAGCTCTCAGGCCTCCACAGAGAACCCCCGCTGTAGGACAGGCGCATAAAGGAAAGCGAGTGAGAAAGCGCTAGGGCTTACCTATAAAGATGTAATCCTGTTAGCCACCTCAGTCAGGCACTCTTTCAGGTTTCCTGGCCTTATTTTAGGCCTGGAAGCCATGATCCTCTGTGGTGATTTAGCTTTGGCAGGAATCACACTGTCTTGGCTCAAGGATGAAGCGTATGGCTTAGAAGAGCCTGACTCATTATTTTCCGATTATGTTTACATCCTGAACTGTATACTCAGATCAGAAATATCATGCATTCTGTGGTGGTGCCTGTATGTGGCTGTGACTCACAGTGATAGGAGACTGGCTCCATTCTGCGGACACAAAGGCTCATCTGGTTTTCACAATGTAAGCACTAAGTCATGGCTGTGACAAGGCTACAGGCACCCTGATTGGCACTGCAGTTCTTTTGGTCTTCAGTGATACAGTTACACCACAACTACAGATTAAATGATGAAAATGATTAAATGATGAAAAGTATCAACATTTGCATCACTCAGATCTTGGTTCAAATCTCAGCTCTTCTGCTTAGCAAATGGGTGAATTTGAGCAAATCACGTAGGCTCTTAGCCTCAGTTTATTCATCTGCAAAATGGGGATCACATGGAAACCATTGAATGGGTTATTATGAAGAATAAGTTACACCGTGTACCCAAGCTGCTGTTCAGAAAGGTAGGTATGACTTATGGATAAGAAATCTCACATTACTTTTGGCCAATCCCTGTCGGATGCCCCTTTGTAGGATTATGTTGTAGGCAGCTGTGTTCCTGCTGATTTACTCAGTAGTTGCAGCTGATTCAGCTCACTCAATAGAATCTTCCACCTGGAAGGGGTCCCTAGAAATAAAATGTGGCATTGGCTGAGTGGAGGGAGGTGGGACTTTGGGCAGTGAGATGTCAGATATTTCAGGCAGCAAATCTGGTGATCCTTATGCGGTGACTAAACGTTTGGGGAGACTGTCACCTGCTGTTCTTTGGGATACAGACCATGTGCTATGGCAGCTTTGCTACCAGGGTAAGCAGCAGGAAAAATTCAGAATCCTGACATGCCATTCTAGCCCTATTTTTTCCCCTAAAGGAGAGGTATGCATTGAGACTGGAGTTAGCCAACACGCAAGCAGAAATGAGAGATGTATATTTACCTACAGCCTGCATTCTAAATTGACTGAGGACCCTTTATTTTAGGTACTGCAGAGTTTTAGAAAGAAATTTATTCTTATCAAACAGCAGGCAAGGAGAGTGACAGCAAGTTTGCAGCGTTATTAGATTGGTGCTTGGTACTTTTCCATCTAGACTCTTAGGAGGTCTTCAGACAAATGAAAATTGGCATTATACTTGGTATTTTCCCATAGTTATTTTGAATGATCTCAAAGCATTAGCCATTAAGCTACAAATCAGAGGTTTAGGCAAACCTCTAGGGGCAGGAGGTACGGGAAAGGGGCTTTGGGGCTAAATACCATGTCTATTTGAAATATTTTTCTGTGGTTATTCATACATAGAATTCATGGACTAAGAACAGTTTTTCCAACATTGGGAATTCTGAGGAAATTGTATTGCCAAAGAGCTCATAATTGCTAAACTTTAAGGCATTTCCTTACCCCCAAAGTTTGACAGATGAAGGGAGCAGGTCCGAAATATCTGGGGGCCCAAAGGGAAGTGACCCACAATTCCCACTTCAGAGGTGGTTATGGATGACATCAGACATGGAAGAGTCCTCTAGGGAACAGGGACCAATTCTTCTGCAATGGAAGACCCAGGGCAGCACCTGATGGCAGCTTTCCTGCCAAGCAGTGTTTGATGGTTCCTCTGTCATTGTCTCTGCTGGGTGCTTTTCATTGCTCTTCTTTCTGGAAATGGGTGAATACTGCACTTACTTGGCTCCATTTTTATCCTTAAATATTGAGTGTGTTGGGGCCAGCATTGTGGCATAGTGGGTTAACCCTTATTGGAGTGCTAATTCGAGTCCTGGCTGCTCCTCTTCTGGCCCAGCTTCCTGCTAAGCTTCCAGCTTCCCTTTCTTGGTTACCCAAGAAAGCAGGAGCCCTCAATGGAGTTCCAGGTTCCTATCTTTGGCTTGGCCTGACCCTGGCTATTGCAGGCATTTGGGGAATGAACCAGCAGATGGAAGATTTCCCTCTCTCTCTCTCATCCTGATATTTAAATAAATAATCTTTAAAAAATATTGAGTGTTCTGGGGCAAAAGAACTTGTCTTTCAGCTTACCAGTCACTAGACTATGTCAAGTTCCAACTAGAAGGGCTGCACCCACAGGCTCTGTGGAGCTGAATGAAGCAACTGGATTAGGCTTTCCAGTTGTTGCCTTTGGGAAGTGGTGCTGAGTACTTTCTACTTTGGAAAATGAGGGTACGTGTGAATGTTAGGTAGAGGGATGTTAACTGTGACAGCCACAGCTAAATTTTTTCTGCCCTTCTTATTTATTATGAGCCACTTCGGCCTATGAAGTACAAGTAAAAACCTATCAGTAGGGCCTCCAGAGATTTTGTTTTCCTCATGAAAAAAAAGAGTATAGGACAGCATTTGCTATTTGCCCTTCATCTTTTCTCTCCTCTCCTTTTTTTGGCTGAAATTAAAACTTAGTGTCTGGAGGTGGATGAGTCATCAGGAGGTTGATAAGACAGAAGCCACATTTTAAGGATGGAGGAGCAAGTAGCTAGAAGGATCATAGTTCCAGGTGATTTCCTTGAGCATTTGCACCAGCTCTAGACTCATTGTCAACTTCCAAATTCCTTGTTATATTAAAAAAAAGACTTGTTTAGTCCTCTGAAGTTGAATTATTGTATAACTACGTGTTTATGATCAAATACCAATAAACTGTGGCTTGACTGCCAAAATAATTCAGAACTCATGGACATGATGAAGGTCAAATGTTTTCAGATTTGGGAAGTCAGTAGAAGCAGTAACTAAAGTGATAGACTTGGCAGTGGGGTTGGGCAGGAGGCAATGAAGGCCAGATAGATGTGATCATCTCTAAACAAGTTGAGGAGGCAGAAAAATGTGACCTGTATCTGGAGCCAAAACAGCACTAGAGAAAGAGAAGCAGGAGCATGGTCAAAGGGTAGAAGACCAAGGAGGGGCCACTGGTGCTGTCTTTGGTTAAGATATTCAGGGCAGATGTGGACTGATTGCCAACAGAAGTACTCTACCTTGGCTCATATATATTCCAGAAAGCACCTTGAGTTGTGCATTGGTGTTTGTGGGTAGAAGAGTTTAGCAGGGTGGAGCCAGCATTGTGGTATAGCAGGTAAAGCTGCAGCCTGTGATGCCGGCATCATCTATGGGTGCTGGTCCCTGTCACGAGTGCTCCACTTCTGATCCAGCTCCCTGCAAATGGCCTGGGAAAAGCAGTGGAGGGTGTCCCAAGTGCTTGGGTTCCTGCCTCCTATATTGGAGACCTGGATGAATCTCCTGGCTCCCTGATTCAGCCTGGCTCAGCCCTGGTCTTTGTGGCCACTTGGGGAGTGAACCAGGGGATGGATGATGTCTGTTTCTTTCTCTCCCTCTCTCTATAACTCTTTCAAATAAATAAATAAATATTTTTTAACAAGGGGCAATTCCATCATTTTTATTATAAAAGTTTTTAGCTTAAAAATGTGTTTTATGTGGTACTATGTGATGTTTCATTGCATATGTACATTGTATAATATTCAGAGTAAATATATTTATTATTTCAAGCATTTAACATTTCCTTATGGTGAAAGCATACAAAATAATATATTCAAGGAGTTTTTTAAATGGAAGTAAATACAATGAATTAACATTACCTACAGTCACCTTACTGTGCAATAGAACCATAAAACTTTATCCTTCTATCTAGTTATAACCTAGTATCTATCAATCGACCTTTCCTAATTTTTCCTTTCAACTTCCATCCCCAGGCTCTGCTCACCACCTTTATATTTTTGAATTGTATGAGATCACCTATTTTTTTGGACTCCACATGAGTGAGATCATGTGATATTTGTCTTTCTGTGCTTGGCTTATTTCACATGACATAATGACTTCCTGTTAAATCTATGTGGCTGAAAACGACAAGATTTCATCCCCTTTTATGGCTCAGTAATATTCTGTTGCATGTATGAGCTAAATTTTCTACATTAATTCATTGGTAGATAGACACTTAGGTTGTTTTAATTTCTTGATGATTGTGAATAGTGCTGCAATAAACATGGGAGTGCAGATATCTATTCAACAGGTGGATTGCATTTCTCTTGGATATATACCCAGGAGTCCCATCTTCTTGAAATCTGTTGTAGAGGCATGTCTGAGTTGGTATGCATCTGGAAATATGATGGGTCTTCTGGTCTTCTGTTTTTCAATATAACATGCATGAGAATGTCATTCAGCCGGCTGAAGAGCCATCCATGCTCTCTTCAGATGAATCTAAGTACTCCAGTTTCTTGCTTCTGCAAAGTTAGAGAGAAGCTGGGTTGAGTAAGCAGTGGCAGCCACCATTGAAGCCTCCAAAATCATGCAGTTGAACCTGTTTGATTCTCTACAACCTGGGATGGTATTTATTTACCTTTCACATATTTTTTTATTTGCTAGCTGCATTTCTGACAGTCAGAAGTGACATTAGGATTAAAGTCTCCTTGTCTAATGAAGATACAACTGAGTTCCATACAAGAAAAAGAGCAACATCTTAGCAACCTATATAAATATCTGAATCATTTGATGATTCTCCTAATGTTTCCTGACTTCTGTTCTTGTATTTTAAAAAGTTACAAAGGGAGACACACTCAGATAGAGCAATGTTCCAAGCCCTGAGTGGACCTAAATTTGGAATGTCTGAAATAGAAAACACTGATAGCAGATTTGCTCAAAACAAGCAAAATAAAGTCCTCCTTCCTAAAATGAATAAAAAAGATTGCAGCCTTTACTTTAGTAGCATGTACTTTAAGTAGCATTACTACAGTTCTCCATTCTACTTTAATATACTCAGAAAAACAAAAAATGGGAAAATGTACCTGTTCTTGTTATATTACCTTTTTGATTGTTTTAGCCACAGTTCTCTAGAGAAGCAGAACCAATAAGATATAATATACACACAAAGATATATACATATGTGTATATATATACTATATGTTTATATATATACTTATATATACTATATACTTATACTAGAGTATAAGGAATAGACTCATAGAGTCCCAGTATAAAGTCCAAAAGTCTAAGACCCAGGAAAGCTGATGGCATAGTTCCAGTCCAAACACTACCATGCTCAAAAGCTAGGAAGAGCCACTGTTTTAATTCAAGTTTGAAGAGAAAACCTGATGTTTCAGCCTGAAAGCCGTTAGGCAGAAGGAATTACCCATACTCAATTCGTTTGTTCTCCTCAAGCCTTCAGCTGACTGGATGAATTCCACCCACATTAGGGAGGTAAATTTTCTCTACTTTTGTCTACCGACTTCAATTCGGTCTCATTTAGAAATATCCTAAAAGATACACTCAAAATAATGTTCAAATATCTGGGCACCCCATGGCCTAGTCAAGTTGGTGCACAAGATAAAACCATCATAACAGAGATGACAAGGTAGATGTTTATAGTCTAGATGTGGTTCAGAGGCCAATATTTTTATTTTCAGGAAGTATTTACTTATTTGAGAGGCAGAGAGATATCGACAAATAGAGAGAGAACACCTATTGATTGGTTAACACACTAAATGTGCAAAATGACTGGGACTGAACCAGGCTGAAACCAGGAGTTGGTGATTCAATCCATGTCTCCCAAGTGGATGAGAGGAACCCAGCTACTTGAGTTATCATCTGCTGCCTTTTGCTGTCTGCATCAGCAAGAAGCAGTAATCAAGAACTGGAGCTGGGAGTAAAACTCAGGCATTCCAATGTGGGAGGTAGTAGTCATGTTAACTGATAGGCTAACTGCCTGCTCTGAAGTTTATAAAATTTTTCTGATTACTTGTTGCTAATACAATGGATCAGGGACTAACAGGTACTCATGTATGGAGTACAAAAGTGTTTGGTTTCTTCATATTACTGCAGCAAGGATGGTATTACTCTGGGGAAACCACAGGGACATCTTGGTGAAGAGTCAACTGAAGAGTCTTCTGGTTGAGTTTGGATGATTTTGGAGAGGCATTGGGAAGCAGAGACCAGTTCTGGTTTTCAGACTGTGGAGAACCTAGGTCATTTCAGAGATCTGGTATATTAATGTTTTTATCTAGGAGGAGGGAGTGTTTTAAAGTGGGTTTAGAGGTGTAATGGCTACAGAAGCAGTTTCCATTTGGAGACAGTTGACTTGGTCAGAAGAGAAAGTGTTTAGTCATTTTTGTGCCACAGGGTGGCTTAAACCGTATTTCTCTGATCATGATTATGGAGTGAACTTACATATATCTTGTACTGAGCCATTATTTGTGATCTTTTGGCAACATTGTGGTCTGGGTGTCAGTACTGCCATTTTTCATTATCTCATTAGCAATACTTAAAAATCACGAGATAATTTTTTGCCTAAAATCTGGGTTTGTCTTCTTTTGAAAAAATGTGACATATTGGGTAATGCTGGGCTTTTGTTTCCAGGTAACACTAATTGGGTTCTCTCATGTGCAGTTTGCCACATAGTCCCTAACCAGTTCTTATTATTTGATATCAGGTACAGTTTATTCTTTTCTGTTATGAACATATACATTTTTTGAACATATACATTTTCAACCTTGCTCTAATTGATTAGCTATCTGGAGATTTGCACTGGCCTAGGTCTTTTGAATTATTGAAAATGTTTAATTCTAAAAATGTCTTCACAATTATTGAAATCAAAGCATTTACCATCATTTAACTAATCACTATGCATTAAATTTTGGTCTATTTTACTTTTTGAAAAGCAAAATAAAAACCTCAAGACATCATGTATCATATTTAAATGGACTGATCAGTCTCTAAGAGGTACAGCTGATTTATAAGATAGTTAGCTACTATACTTCTCTTCTTTTACTATCTACCCCCCATAGGATATCCATAACCTGTGTATCAATCAGTAGCACTCTTTGGTACAAATGACAGAATAATCTCATGTAAACTAGCCTACCCAAAAAGAGTTTTTGGCTTCCACAAGTGAAAAACCAAACGGAATTTTTAACTAATAGTTTGACCCAGGCTCATAAATACAACCATCTCTGGATATGTTTTTTTCTGCTTCTCATCTGGTCTCCCTTACATTAGTTTATTTCTCAAGCTATTGTTTCCAGAATCTATATCCCCACATACTGTTACAAGGTCAATATTTTATGAAGAACTAAAAACTAAAGTACTAATCAACTGGGAAAAAAACAGTGGGAAGGAGGATTTATCTCTTTCAAGAGGGTTACTCCATGTTCCATGAACATTATTTTTTCAAACTGGATAAGAAGTATATCCTTGGACTAATAGGTCTCAGTTTTATTTCACACATCTGATCCTGAAAATGGAGATAGTTAGCCGTATCCACAGACCTGGACTGGAGTTCAAAACACAAGTTGGAGTACTGTTAGTAGAGAAAAGGTGATTGCAAAGAAGGAGTTTCCAACAAGAAATGTTTGGGACTTTCACGCAGTAAGTTTCTACTGCAACATGATAGAGTCACTACTAGTCCAGGGCCTGAACTTCACCCAGCCACATTCAGAAATAGTCCTTGCGGTGGGAGATCAGGTCATGGGTTCTAATGCCACATAAAACTACTGGAAATGGAGTTGTATGATTGTCTTGGGCTTCCTGGGAAGCAATCTCTGAAATGGAGATTTGCGTTCAAGAAATTTAGTGAAGAGTTTTCTCAGCATATTTGTAGAGTGAAGAAAGTGGAGTGGGAGGGAAATAAGCCAGACCCAGGAAGGCAAATATCATGTTTTCTCTTATTTGTGGAAGTTAATGTATAGAGAGTATAAAAACTGTGTAGCTGTTGTATCATTTGAAATGTAGTAATGAATGTTGTGTCACTGAATCATACCGTGCACATGATAATATACCTTTCTTTCCCCACATTACGATCATTGCCACGTATCCCTCACTTTGTGATATTCATACCTCTGTTTTCAGGAAAAACAGTATACATGTGTATGTATGTAATGTCCACATATGAAGTGAATATGGCAAGCTGTTAAACACTGTTACATTTTAAAACTAAAAAAACTAAACTTGTAATGATATTTAAAAAAAAAGAAAGTAGCAGTGGAAAGAAGAAAAATTTTGAATGGGATGAAATGATAAAAAAAAAAAAAAAGGTCTCACCTGCTGGTACAGGGAGTTCTGGAGCACGGATGTGTGGGGGCCAAGCTTTTATATTCTCCTGTGGGCTCTAGGCTGCCCCAGAAAAGCGGCATGACCTTGGGTGCAGTGAATCTCTACAGATGAAGGCAAATCCCAAAGGCTGACTCATATGGGAGCCGCCAGCTGCCAACGCTCCCAGCAGCTGGAGGAATGGCTGCTTCAGTCTTGGGCAGTGGGATAGGGGTGGGGGCAGATCTTGGTAGCGTTCCATAGCATCCACTACAATGATGTATGACTTTTTCCTAGCCGTGCAACTGGTAAGGGAAAACAAACATTTATGTCATCTTGTCAGGGTGTGGTACTCAAAGGAGCAAAGTTTTTCTTGGAAAACAAAATATCAAAACATTGCTTGGTGAACATAGCAATAAAATAATATGGTAGAATAGAAGATACTTTTTTTTTTTTTCCTGGCAGGCAGAGTGGACAGTGAGAGAGAGAGAGACAGAGAGAAAGTTCTTCCTTTTCCGTTGGTTCATGCCCCCTGTGGCCACTGCGGCCCGGCACACCATGCTGATCTGAAGCCAGGAGCCAGGTGTTTCTCCTGGTCTCCCATGCGGGTGCAGAGCTGAAGCACTTGGGCCATCCTCCACTGCACTCCCAGGCCACAGCAGAGAGCTGGACTGGAAGAGGATCAACTGGGACAGAATCCGGCGCCCCAACTGGGACTAGAACCCGGTGTGCCGGTGCTGCAGGCGGAGGATTAGGCTAGTGTGCCACGGCGCCGGTCAAATAGAAGATACTTAAGAGGAGCTCTCTCCCTGAAGTCACAGCATGCGCTTGCTTTCCTCCTAGAAAGGTACCTGCTGGTGAAGGAGAGCAGAAGACTCGCATCCATGGAGGTGACTCAGACTACCTGCTTCCCATGGAATGTCTGGGATCACACATGTTCAGATTCTCACTCTTCAATTCATTATATTTCCTAGCAATAACCCCATACAACTAGCTTTATAAAATGTTCTTGTGACACATTTCCTATACACCCCAAGTACAGCTTATCTGCCATTATTTTTGTTTCAGTAGTAGCCCTTTGAATATGAAATGCTGGCAAATGAAGTCTCACTGGACCCGTTAATTCATCCTTTCATGTGAATTCCTATAATTCCAGCCACAGATTTGTTCTGACCCTGTCTTTGCAGTTATGTGATCTTGGTCA